AAAAAAAAATCCTCAATGATACCGTCAAATTCTTGGTCTTTTCATGTCATACATTGTACATACGGAATACATACGTTGATTGTATCACCTACACTTCAAACTGCTAGGGAGCGGGTGGCTACAAAGTCCCACGCTCTAAAAACTCAAATGTTGAATTATTATTTGATAGGTCCTAGAAGTGACAGCAATTAAACGGTAGATTTCCACTTCAACTTGTTGGAATTACCTTTATACAGTTCTCTCTCCAGCATGTGTATACAAATGTACCATTTTTAAAGTGTTGTCACTCCCTTCTAAATGGTGCTTTGGTGTTATACAGAGCAAACAGTTATCACAATTTTGTTTAAAGGTAAAGACCAGTTATGGTCATGCGATTGCATTGTGAAAGAAACGTTGTGGAATTGATCAGAAAAGGTTGATCATCTAGCATCTAGCATCTGCAAGGTTCTGGAATCATCAAAATGATAAGAAATTTGGCCCATTCTTCGTAAAGTTACAAGCACTATACACAGAAAGATGTATATGGGACTACCCTATATCTCTCACAGACCATGAGAGAAACAAATTTACCAAATATATGAATTAGTAGGCGGTTTCCCGGCATTTTTTTATCATCATGTATTAGTCAAAACATATTCTTTCACATGATTGGTAATGAGAGCTTCCATTTCATTTTTTGAAATTGGGGCGTTTCCAATACTAACTGGTCTTTACCTTTAAATGTAACAACATCATAGTTCAGGTAGGCCTATATCCATTCGATAAGTTCAAGTTGCTTTATACATTATTGTACTAAAATGCGAAGTGCTTGATACAAAAAACGGTCCAGATCACAATGATAACGTCTTTAAATAAATCCACTCAAGGGCAATTTCAATATATCATTCAGTTATCAATATAAATCGTAGTTACGTGATATCTAATGGTAATTTTCGCACATTATAAACACAACAAAGAACCCAAATGATTGCCCAAGATTGGTTTCCTGTAAGTCATGCTTTTCAAATCGGGCTGACAAATTGTTTATCAGCTATCAGCTTCCCGTTGATAACTCATAATCAACTGCACGATTTTAGACGTCAAGGAAATCACATGGTTTCTCTGTATTTACATAATATTTACAAATAAAATTTGTTTTTAATAAAAACCAAACCACAAGACAAATTTAAAGTTGAAAGGCGTCAAGAAATATTCTTCTATATTTTGCTCAATGAGAATCCTGATAATTAGCATTTAAGTTCAAAATCGAACACATGAGTTTTCAGGAATCAATAGTTTTGTTTTGTAATATTCTTTATTGTATTCACTCAATAAATAATATTAATTCATACAAATTGTAATATATAACATATTGAAACCAATTACAGAGTACAAAATACAGTAATCTCAATTATATTGAATGAATTAATATTGTTATAACCCCCCCCCCCTCTATATTTTGTTCTGCAGTGCTATAGTATCCCTATCACATATTATAATTTATAACATATTGGAACAAAGTACAGACTACAATCAACCTAGTTATATCGAATGAATAAAGTTTGTTATATCCCCTACCCCCGTTAAAAACAAAACCAACAACAACAAACACAAAACAAACAACAACAAACATCAATAGTGTTGATTATTTTTTCAAGGCCGATATGCCTAACCGCACATTTCACAATCATGCAAGTATTTCGACCACAAAACTAAAAAAAATACATCAATGTGCATGTCATGTATACAACATTATAATACACAAAAGTCATTTAACAAAATGGTTCTGCCCCTAGAAACCCTTAGGGAGCAGGACCGTTACTTGGGGGGGGGGGGGCGTCCCACCCAATTTTAGGGCAACACCCTGGCGGTCCACATCACAATTTCTAATTTAATAACTGCATCCCTGTTCTCAAAGAAACATCAATACCATTTTTCAAGACAATGCTTTCTGTTAAGGGAAAACCCCTTTTCTGAGGTTATGTCCGAGCCAATATGAATGTCTCTTTATTGTGTTGGTACGAGTATTGGAAAAACATATGTTTGGCACAATGTTGAACATGAGCTACATACACATTGAAGTTCATCGACTGATGTAAGTTTGATAAACTCGAGATCAACGCCTCTCTGTCTCTAATTGAGTGAGGGCATTCCCCCAAATGAATAACGAACCAGACTTTGTCTCGATTCGAGGTGTTTACGAATAATCGTTCAAGTAAAGCATGTTCGTGTGGGAAGAAAGTGTGAATACATGAATTCAGTTCAATTCAGTGAGCATACAGAGACATACCGTCCCGTGAGCATAAAGGAATAATTATTTGCTGATCTGCATGGAGAGCCAAAAAGGCGTCAAGTCATGTACTTTTACGACGATTTAAGCCCTTCTGCATGGCTCTTAAGTCAGCACATTGGTTGAAAATCAGTGACGTAGCTACACAAGGCACAGAGGGGCATGGGCCCTTCTCCAAATGGCGAAAAATAAATACATAAGGGAATTAGAGAGGAGAAAAGTAATGATTTTAAAGGAAACATTGAAAAACTAGCATCGAACACTTACTTCTAGAGGTCTTTTTCTTAATTTCCTATGCCCCCTTCCCCCCCAAAAAAAAATGAATCATGAGACACATGGCAAATGAACGCAAGACCCCAAAGTCGCCAAAAGCCCCTCCCAAAATATTCGTCTAGAACCACACTCTATTGAATAAGGCCGACGCCCCCTAACTGTTGCTTTTGCTCCCTCAACGCTTTGACCCAAGCTACGCCACTGTTTGAAGTTTTTTTTTTCTAATTAAAATGAATGAGGTTGCTATGTCAGACTCACCTGCAGCATTTCTTCTTCTATTCTGGTCAATGTTCTTTTGCTGTTTATCACTGCTCCTACACACCACATTCGATACCACAGTATCACCAGGATGGAGATAGAGTACGTTAGAGCGTAACAAACCATGACTGTTTCAACTTCAAGAACGAAGAAGAAGAAAAACAAAATCCACCACCAAAACAAAAATAGAAGTAGTAAACGAAGGATGAAAACGACTACGAGAATATTCTTTTATGAGGTGAAGTTGGCCTTCGACGCGCGTGTGAGTTGTAGAAGAGAATAAGCATCTTCACAAAGAGGTAGTTGTATGTTGTACGCCAAGTCGCGTTAAACGTTTGGAGCGACCCTTCTGCAGTTTGGTTGCCAAATGAAAGATGCTGAGATTTTGAAGCAGATTTAACTGAGATGAAATTCCTAGTCCACCACCATCATTAGCTATATTTGACACTTTATTATTTTGTATCCAAACTCCGAGGTACGTTAGACTGCAGCCTCTTCAGATGGTTATCGAAGACAAAACGATGTTTCAAATCCGTGCCGTCGTTTTTTCAAGTGACGCGAATACTTCTTGTCAATGAGCAATGTAAACAGTGATGATAAGATGGCATCCTCCTTGTACGTTGTCTCCTGACCCGGTTTGGGGTGATAAACTTTGGACCGCTCACTGCAGGGAGAGGCCAGAGCTTATCGGTAGGACGCTGGCGTCAAGGACACAAATTTGAAATTATATCAAAGCTGTCTACATATCAAATCGGCGAATAGGTAACAGAAAACGGGTCAGAATTCCATCTCTCCAGCATTCGGCATGTCTTACTCCAGACTTTCCCATGCGGATTGATGCAATAGCCTTTGTTTCGGGCACTTCTGATGGGGTTTGGGTGACGCGGGGAGCATAAAAAGAGGAGCCGATTGATGATACGGGTTCTCGGTTTGAAAAGTAAATGATGATCACAGATATTGACGTTTTGTAAGCCCCCACCTACGCAAGACGTCACTCGCACAAACTGACTGCACAAACAATCACGGTATCATGGTGTTGTCATGAAAATGGAATTCTTTCTCGTCAGATCGACAACATTGCTATGAAAAGGAGCATTCCTCGATGAAACAGTCATGAAGACAAAGAAATAGTTGAGGTTATCAAGCCCCTCTCCGACGTCTGGAGACTGTTTTGTCAAACGGTTAACAATACGTATCCGCTGCTCATACGAATCCACTGCTCACCCGAAGATCTAATAAGCTGTAATAAATTCATTCATTTCTCAATGATATTTATGCCGATGTCAAACCGCATGAGAACATTAACAAAATATCTTCACAAACAGTGGGACAATGAGGAATCATAGACCACGTTCTGAGGTCCAAGAGCAAATATTTGTTTGTTGTTCCACATCAAATTGTTCGGATAAGTTATGATCAATTCTCACCTCAAACTCCTGCTATTCCCTCGAAGATCAACAGATTTCTAAGCCACATTATGACGAATCGATCAGAAACTGACACTGGATTCGGGGTTGACTACAACATGCACATTCAAGATGTCAACGACTTGGACTATTTTTGGAAATCGCGGGGCTGTCGGAAATTACAAACTTGTTTGCTATCCTTTTTCGCAGTAACAACAAACTCGTCTTCCCAGTATTTACACCATGCTTCGCACAAGCATGACAGACAGAAATCACAGAAATCAGTCCATCCGTTTTATCGTGATTCCTCGCCTGAAGTAAGTTGCTCCTATATGGCTTGGTAGCTTGGGTACGACTCAGGAAAGTGACGGTGTTTTTTTTTAAATAGTGAATATACACCATGGAGATATGTTGTTTGCTAGTGTCGTCAGCTGATAGATAGCTATTCAAGATCATCAGGTCACTCAATTTGATTAACTGATTTATTTTTTTCCTTCTCTTCCATGACCTTCCGCGTACTGCTGACATGGATTTCACTAGCCCATTTCCCGTGAAGTTCAAGATCGGCAGGCTCGCAATAACATGGGCTTTGTACTCTACGGGAGAAAGAGGGAGAGAGAGAGAGGGAGAGAGGGGGAGAGAGAGAGAGTGGGGGAGAGAGAGAGAGAGAGAGAGAGAGGTAGAGAGAAAGAGAAAGTGAAAGGAGTTACGCTTTTAGAGAGAGACCATGGACTTATTAAGATAGGTCCATGGAGAGACAGAGACAAAGAGAGCGGAGAGAGAAAGAGGGGGGGGGGGGGGAGGCAGAGAGAGAGAACGAGAGAAAGGGAGAGAGAGATAGATAGAGAGAGAGAGAGAAAGAGAAAGTGAAAGGAGTTGCGCTTTTAAAGGCGCTATATATAATTTTTTTTACATTCGAATGTTTGGGGCAATTATCTATCGATATAATCGGTATTAGATTGAGTGTTAATTGATCAGCCATATGGACTTCACATTCCATATTGGACAACCCCTTTCAGTTTAGAGACTGAGAGGAAGATACGAAGGGATAAAGAGAAAATGAGACATTCAGAGAAAGAGAGATAAAGAGAAAGAGAGAGATATATATATAATATGGATCATCTAATTGCAAATCCCCAAATTTCTATTCTATTCCTTTTGAATTCTCGCATAATTTTTATTCTATTTCTTTTGAATTCTTGCATCAGACGATCGGAATATGACAAGAACAGTTGATAACATGGGTGGCCCACATGGAGCTTACGTACCCCATTATTCCTAAAGCCGGATAATTGTTAAAACTAGGAAGATGTTGCTCATGACGTTGATACGAAGATAGACATGATAATGCGAGTGATTGATTCCATCTGAATGAGAATTGACTGTTTCTGAGGAAATAAAGAGGAACAGTTAATCACAGGGTTTCTAGACAGTGTGGCCGTCAGGATGCGTATGACATCATTCAAGAAATGAGTGATGGGTCGTTGCCCTTTCTCCGAGTGTTTCATCATCATGTACAATGGCGTAGCCACAGGAGGGAAGCACTGGGCACCCCCCCCCCCATTGAAAAGTAATAATGGAACGTAACACAAAGAGAGAGAGAGAGAGAGGGGGGGGGGGGTAAACAATAGAATGATGTAGAAAACGGTTAGGAGACTGCAACCTTGATAATAACCCAATATCTCTTTGACCCTCCAATTTTCCTAATGGGCCTTGCCGAAAGGCATTGACAAGCTTATTTTCCCACTTCATAATCCTCTGTTTAGTAAAGATATATACTATACAAAAGTCATGTATATGTACCTTTTGTCTTTTATTAATCAACTTTACAAAATCAAGTATATCAAACTCATATTACATTAAAACAAGTTAGCTAGGGTGGGAGAACTACATGTACTCTCCCACACTCTTTGTATATTTCCCTCGCATTTTAACTTAAAGGTAAAGACCAGTTATGGTCATGCGATTGCATTGTGAAAGAAACGTTGTGGAATCGATCAGAAAAGGTTGATCGTCTAGCATCTAGCATCTGCAAGGTTCTGGAATCATCAAAATGATAAGAAATTTGGCCCATTCTTCGTAAAGTTACAAGCACTATACACAGAAAGATGTATATGGGACTACCCTATATCTCTCACAGACCATGAGAGAAACAAATTTACCAAATATATGAATTAGTAGGCGGTTTCCCGGCAAATTTTTATCATCATGTATTAGTCAAAACATATTCTTTCACATGATTGGTAATGAGAGCTTCCATTTCATTTTTTGAAATTGGGGCGTTTCCAATACTGGTCTTTACCTTTAAAAAAGACCCGTAGCCACCTCCGCCCCTCCATGAGAGGCAGCGCCCCTTCAATGAATGGACCCACGCTAAGCCCTTGATTATGCATGTGTTGTGTTATATCAAGCCACTCAGGATTGGAAACTGTCAGCAGACAAAGCCAGAAATAGACGCTGACCGAAACTACTGACAATCAGTTTTTATTGAAACTGTTACATGTGAAATGATCAGAATAGATATGACAACACTAACCTGCTGCGCTGTGCAAGAGCTTTAAACGAATAATTATAGTACAACGCCGGTGGGGGGGGGGGGGTTCTATTCCTCGGACGACCATGCCCTAAAAAATTATCATCCGGATATCTACTACTCGGACAGTTACCGTGACAGCCTTAAACAATTGCCACTCGAACCCCCAAAAAACTACCCCAACTGTATCGGGACAACTACCGTATATAATTTATTGTAGACTATCATCCCCGTATACACTAACACCTTTTAAAAGACAATAACCATCCAGCAAATTAAAAAAAAATACCCCATTGCTCTGAGAAAACGAGGTCGAATGGCAATTTCAAGATGTTAACGAACGTGTAAAAAAACACTATTGATGTATGAATTGAATTAGGGGGTAGTTGACCTAGGGCCGGATAGTTGGTCGGGGGCTACTTGACCAGTCACCAGGGCTAAGTTGTCCTAAAGTCCCTCGGACCACTAGGCGACTCGGACAGAGTGTAGTTCGTAATTTTAAATTACTGTCATTCAGTGCTATACAGTTAAAGTTGTCCTAGGGGATGACTTCCGGGTCGAAGTTGTCCCGAGGTAGTTGTCCAGGTCGAAGTTGTCCCAGTATAGTAGTCCTGGTGCACTCAAAGCAAACATCAGCTAAAGAGACTGCTCTGGCACGATATTGACGGATCAACATTTTGGCAATGTTTCAAAATGTTCATGTTAATTAGGGGAACTGGAAATTCAATTAATGTTGACGACCATGAATTAGAATCTTTCCGTGGAACGGGGAATTTTCCCTCTGGTTCTCAGTAGTTTCAGGACTATCTGTGTCATTGACCAGTACATGACATCTTCAACATTGATTTTCATTAAACACACAACTTCTGTATTTTGCTTCTTTAAATAAAATGATTAGGAAGAACTATTTTGATAGTGAAAAGAATCAGTTTTAACCAAATCTAAGCTAATAAAATGTACCTCTTAAAGAAACTATACATTTTCAAACACCCTCAAGTAAAACAACAAACGTATCTTTAATGCCCACTTAATGTTCTTTTATAATTATGACAGTTCAGATTAACAGGAAGTGACCTTTCATATATCTAACAGTGATGTCCTTGTAAGGCTCTAGAAAAAAAAATTCTCAAGTTCAAGCCAACAGCTTTTTATTACTTTAAAAAAACGAACTTTCAGGAGTTCAAACTTTCTGAATACTAACAAGGATTATTTTCCAGGGAGATACAGGCGTATGGCGTTGGGGTAATCATTTAGGGGCACGGCAAGCCACCCCCCCCCCCAAAAAAAAAACAACAAAAAAAAAAAAAAAAAAACTCTTAATAGTATTTCTGTTGCTTAAGTATCATACACCTGAAAAGAAAACATGGATCTTATTTGTCAAACTTTAAATGATAATAATTAACAGTAATTCAAGTCCCAGTCGCAGGTGTTGCTGACCGTGGACGAGGATCGAGCCCCCCCCCCCCTTTATGAAAAAGTGCCCCTTTAAAGTGAGAAGTGGAATATATCTGGGAGAGCCATCCTTGCTGCCCCGCTTAAGGCGTCTGGAGGGGTGTCAATCGGCCCCATCCCCACCCTTGCTACGCCATTTGACTGTATTTCGCAAATCAACCTATCCAGATTCTGTTTACGTGGGCTTACAGAATCACAAACAACTCTATCAAAACGATACCATCTTCTCTCTATTCACGATTTCTATAGACTGGTCACCCATTAAGTTTGCAAGAATAATTAACAATAAAGTCAAGGCTAACTGTCTGGAGAATTCATCATTTTTATTTCTTTTACACTTATTGTGGCCACACGCTTTTATGATAGCGAAACGGAAATAATGGGTCAAATCTAAGCCGGTCATCTAAGGCTAAATAGTTTACAGGACTTTATATCTAGGTTACAATTGCTATTTAACCTTTTTTTTTAACATGTAGCTCTGTTTAAAGTTGTACGGGTTTTAAAGCATTTATTGCATGTATTATCTTGTTGTCGAAACAAAATTGTAAAGTTTGGCGTTAATTCTGTCTAAAATGGGCATTCGATGATTTAGAATGATCGTTATTAGTATACATGGTACATGATTCGTATCCGACAAGTAGAGAGACCCCCACCTATTCCAAGATTTACATTTGTTTCTAGGGTAACAAGGTTATACAGGGAGTACTTTGTACTGTGAGATATTTCCATCATAATACCCAATTTTATTGATTTAAAATACCCTCTATATAGTATACTTTTCCAATTACATGTTATGGTCTGATAGATATATCCTATATAATACTGTAACGAATAATAACATCCTCCCCTCTTCACCCCCTCCCATTCTCCGACCCCCTCTATGTGTCTCTGTAAAGTTCACTTACTACTCTCTCTCTCTCTCTCTCTCTCTCCCTCTCTCTCCCACCTCTCTTCTCTCTCTCCCCTCTTTCTCCCCCTTCCCCTCTCTCTATTGCCCCATTTCTTTAATTCCCTCTCTTTTCCTTATCTCTCTTCCACTTCCCCCTCATTGACACTTTTGTTTTCCTTTTGTTTCCTTCAATATACACTCTTCCCCCCCCCCCTCTCCCTCTCCGTCTAAATCTTTTCTCCTCTCTTTCTTCTTTAACTATTTCACAATTAATAAAGAGCGCCCTATCACATTTTTAAACGAAATAAACTGGTGTTTTTTTTTACAAAATTCAAACGAAAACAATTATCATTACTGACTTAAAATATTTATTTCACCACGAAGCGCACCTTTGTACTGTGACACTATTGTTTACACGCCATACATGACGGGATTATCAGGAAACATAGACCGGTATTTTATTTTGATTTATAATGAATAAACAATGAAAATGGGACTACAGACTTAATTATACCGACTGAATGAAAATACATTTTGTTTCAATAAATTGTGGATTGTATTCACCTAGATATGCATAAATGCCCAGTAAAACAGAAACATTTTTTTTCAAGTTATAGTAATAAATTTTCAAAAAAATATATATGTATAATAAATTGCTCGAAAACTAAACTTGTACAGCTCATCCGTCTCAGCCTTTTTTGTTTGCAGCCTGGGTTAAAACGCATTGAAAGGACCAACACAGTATATCCTTTTCGATTTAAGTACATGATTAGATAACAGATGAACATCATTTCATGATGTTTTGTATGAAAATAGACAATAAGAATACACTAACAGACTCTAAATATTGAATCAACAGGCATACAGTACTGATAATCATTAGCTCACGTATCGGAAGCAATTAAAGGATGAATTATAATCACCAAACTTGATCTATTATTCAAGACACTCATATCATCTAAATTACCCAGTTTTTTTTCTTTTTAAAATGATTTATCTTGACCCAAATTATGGCGATGAGAGCTTATTCCAAAGCCTTCTCTTTAATTATCATCCTATCAACTAAAAAAAAACACCGGTAAAACTCAATCATCCCCATATTGAACTCTTTTCAATTGTTTACAGGGGACTTTAACTACAACGGGTCAATATCTGCAAACTTTAAAATGTTATATATGTTTCTGGTGTCGGTGAACGCTGGAACCGTTTTGAGTTCAGATAACCACAGGCGGGAAATTCTAAGATTCATAAATCTCTAAAAAATATCTTTCAGAGAGTAGCCAACCCCTGTCGGTGACTTATGTGCAGCATGAAAGGGCCCGACCGGGGAATGAAATATGACTGTGTACAAACAATTCATCTACGTTTATTTTAAAACTTCATGCAGAATATAGAAATGGTGATAAGACGTTCTAAAGGGGGGTTCCGTGAGGAGATGTATTTCAGAAATTACTACGCTTCGTTGAGTGATAAGTTGTCAAGTTTGTTATGGGTTTATGTGGTACTTGCCTTCAAAAGTGGTATCTCTATTGGAATGTTGGGAATTAAAGTTAGACGAGATACAAATTTCTATACGGGACTTTGGAATGATGAAATAAAAGGGACATTTATCTGATTTCGGATCGTATTTCAAAATCCATAAAATTCCGTCGTAGAAAATCCGACTTCGACGTTTGAAAATGATTTGTAGTAGTCGAATAGTTGTATAATGCCTTTGAGTTTATAGTTTCTAGATGTGGGGACTAGAATAAAACATGTTATAATCAATCATTCCAGCTCATATATTAATAGATGATCATATATCAAGCTGATGCAACAGACACTTTAAAAAATAAAGATTAAATCATAATATTTACACATACTCGAAAGTACATGCTTTGCTACTTCGGAAGAATCAAAGGTATCTATTTCTATCTAATGATTAGAAATAGAATGATTTATATACGTCAGATATTGATAGGCTCACAAAAATGAAATTACTGTTAACGGCTTCACATTATTTTATGGCGTAAAGTACTTTTGAAATATTTTTGACATTTCCATAAAGGGTCTTACACCGCCTATCGATCCCGCCACCCCCCCCCCCCCCCCAGGGAAAAAAGAATTGATTGAACGATTCGGGCAATAGAAGCATACAAAAATAAAATGCCTTGAGATTTCAATACAGGTGCAATTGTCGAAGTACTAAATACAATATTTCTCACCATCATAAACACTGTATATTCAATAGACCAATATGCATAACGGTTAATATATACTCACATCCGTTTACCTAAAATAATTATTATGACCAAAATATTCACATCAGTTTTTAAATTTTAGAATATGAATAAACGAATTGAAGAAGAAAAAAAGGGTCTGCAGCATTTTGATGCCAACAGGTCTTCAGGAGTAAGATTGTTAAAGTCGAGACCAAAATATTCATCGAGGCCCCCAAAAGGAGGAAAAAAGGACTTGATGAAATTGAAATGATCAAACTATGTTTAAATTATTCATTTATTATGTATTCTCCACTCGTGGGATGGTTTGCCCTTGTCAGCTATATTTTTATAAGCTGTTTTTCAAAGGGGTCTCCCACATACGAATCATTGATATGAAATGAAGCAGTATTCAATGATTATTATCTGATTTCAAATACTAATATAATGTTGGTGGAAAACTAACCTCAGTATGGCTATTCTTTATAAATTTATTCAACTTATTGCAAACAATCAATATAAGTGTATCCTAACAAGTTGTATTATTTTGATTATTCTGTCACTTGATGGCATTTTAACCGCTCCACTATACTTCAAGGAAACGGTTAAAGACTGTAGATAAAAATGAAAATATCATAAATAGACCCATAATATACATGATAAGAATAAAACTGGTAGTGTTTATATACATTTTATATAGCACCCATATTTGAACAAGATTATTACATAAGTTTTGGTGTTCACCAACAACGAACAGAGCTAACAGAGCTAACGTCCAATAGCAAATGGAAACTATTGAAGTTTTATGCTTTATATAGCCAAAGGGTTTTTGATATCGATGAAAAAATAAGAATAAATTAAACCATGGTCAACTTAAGTTACATAAATGTACAGATTAAATATTCGTTTTTTTTAAAATAATTCTGTACATTAATGAAAACGAATAATATTGTTGTTGACAATGTCAAAGTCTCATATAGTCACAACAGGGAAATTATGATAATGATAACAAATTATCTGCTAATTTAAAAACATTTCGTTATTATACACATGGACATTTACATATCATTTTTATTTAATTCTCTCTGAAATTTATCAACACTTTGTTACATGTCAACGATTAAGATATTTCTGTCTAAATTTCGAATTTGAAATCTCACCAATCCCACTACACATGACAAGGCTAAGAGATGCTATACATTTCAAAATACTAACATTACGACAGCTATGTACGATAGTAGTTGCTATGCGCTCAATATGGACATTATAACTGTTTGTAAAAGGTGATTAAATAGTATATTTAATAATATTAGATACATTTACCTAAATATGTACATCATTCTGTTTTCATATGTAAAAAATTACATACATCTTTACTTTTTAATACACGGCAGCGAATCAAGAATTGAAATTGAATACATTGATATAAAAACAAACCTCATGATTATTTTTTAGTATATAAGTTGATCACGAAGCTTCGAATATTCATATTTGGTATGACCATCAGTCCATCACTACTTCCCAAGTGAGAAGCACGCAGTGGTGTAACGTCGGGTGATCCGAAAAGAGAAGAACCGCGAAACAAAAATTATTAAATTCCGTGAATCCTCTCCGTCTGATTTTAGGATAGTACGCCACTTACGGCCAAGACAGGACAGTAGTCGTTCTTCCGGAAAGCAAAACAGCGCTCGTTGAGTCTCTGTCTTACTCCGTTTTTCACTGTTCTCGAATAACTTCATTGTGCTGCATTATTTCAAGTTTTGCAAGCATTGTCCTCCTTGTTTGTAACATCGTACCACGTTTCAGAATAAATAGTAAGAGTCCTTGCATCTCTGAAACCGAGATGAACTGTTCGAATCCTTTAACGAGTGTAAGGTCTATCTTCAGGAATCTCGTTGAAGCAGGAACTTCTCTCAGCTGTTTGAATTGATGCATTTGCAGTCAGATATTGAGAAACCTCCGTTGATACAAGGTGGCTTACCGCATAGGCCTTTCCGAACACAACTAGAGAAGGAAAGAAAGCAAAATGAACTAGAATTAGAGATCTGAAGGTAGATACTTAACCAAAAATATGTGTAGAATTGTTAATCCTAGTTACTACAACATTTCATTGACATATTGCACAGGGCTCAACAGCCAATCAAAATCAAGGTTTCCATGGTAGTTACCATTGATGGCAAAGTTACCATCAATGGTAAGTTTTGTGCAACCGGGCCCTGGATTTCTATAGGCAGTAGAATACCCAATACCGTACCGAAATGGCCTTTGGGATGATTTCTTGGAAGTCTTAGCGATTGTCTTAATGATAAGACAAAACACAATATGTAATGAGAGTTTACTTACTCGCATTCTTCTCGCGACAGTTTCCCGTTCCGTCTTCCCCTGTAGATGTTCTTGCAGTTCCTGTCCTGGCTGAGACAATCGCATCCGCACGTATCCTCGTCCTGCAGGAAAGGCTTGGGGCACCTGTTCCGGCACTTGCAGGTACACTCGCTGTAGGACCACACCTTGTTGTCCGGGCAGTCGACCACCGGCTCGGGGCAGAAGGATGGTTTGTCCTGGCACTCGCACTCCAAGTCGTGCACGATCTCGCGGGTGATTTGCAGCCTGGTTTTTAAGAACTGTTGGAAGTGAAAGAACAGGAGATTAAAAATTACGAGAAGATTCGCCGGAGGGGTTGACAGGAGTGTGCTTCAACCCTCAAGGGTCGAATCGTGATTTTGAAAAAGTGGGTGGGAGCCGAGGGGGGGGGGGGGGGGGGGGGGGGGGGGGGGGGGGGTCTATCGGACAAGCATTTCCAAGTGCCTTATTCGGTCTAAGATTTTAAAAGGGGTACAAAGGAAGGGGTTGTGCCCCTTATATCCATTAATGGACATACCCACATAATATTTCTGTCGGTAAATTCGTAAATATGAGGATTTCTGTATAGCCCTTAAAATCCCTTGTAACTTTGCTTCTGTCGGCAAAATTTTCGACAAATTATTTTGTTCAGTCTTCCCCTTTTGATGTAAAATACTCTGGCGAAGCCCCTGATGGAATACTTACGTTCATGGTGATATTGGTCGTTCTTGACGGCACGCACTCCCGCTCGTCCCCGCAGCATCCTCCTTGCTTGCAGCGACGAACCACGATGCATTCCGGATAGAGGAAGTCGCCATAGCCTCGTGGTATTCCCAGCTCCTCGTACGAATCCACCACACGGTCGCGAGGTTGACACTGCACTCGGGCATTCTCATCCTCTAACCTGGCGAAGAAAGCACTGTCGCTGCTTGCTGGAAAATCAAACAAAAAACAGGGAGAGGAAGAAGGAAAACATTTGTTAGTTTGATTCCAATATTATCCTGGGGATTTGGAGCGAAACATAATTTAGCAACGATTGCATGAAAATGAAAGATTTGCATGGGATAAACATCTTCGACAAGAAATCTTTGATGATTAATTATGAGAGTTCAGAAAAGAACAATTGTAATAAGGTATTAATCCTCATTTCCCAGTTCTTTGGAGAGGACATGAAACCATCGGTTCCCTGGTTTCTTACTAAAAGCATATACATACTTTCTTAGCAGTCGGTTTAAGCAATCATCAACATGATCATAAAAGTTAAGCAGACGACATTTGAGTTAAGAGGGCGCTCTGTATTTCGATAGCCATCCACGCATTGATTTTGTTTTCACCATTTATTTGCAATGTGTATATTGATTTCATTTTAAGTATTAGCCCATCGAATTTCAGATTAATATTTTATTAATACCACACATAGTTTTATAAGCGAGGGCTCATAGAAATAAATGACAACAAAATTGCATAATGCACTCACAGATGCCGAAAGAATGTTTCAGCAATGTGTCGGCACAGTGGGCAATCAACATGACTAACAATATGGTTGCATTATCGAAAGTTGAATGCACAGCCCAGGAAATCGGTATGTGCTGAATGAGGTGTTAAATGACCACACATGAACCAATAACTCTGCTGATTTCTGTCTCTTATTATCCTATATTCATTTGATCAGCGGACGGTATAAGGACTGTCGCATTATCGCGACTTCCGTCTTACTTAATTTAGCTCCCCACCCAGACGACACAATATAAACCACAGAATGTTCTCTCTAAGCGCTGTCATGTAATCATAATGATGATAGAGACTTATAATGATCCAAGGGGGGCCTTCTTTCACCCCTAATGGATTCTGGCCTATCCGGAGGTGTCATGGCTTTCTTAATGTCAGATTATGTCTTGCTTTCGCCTCCATCATTAAAACCCTCTTTTGAACATCTTTCTGCAACAAAAAATGTCATAATGGTTCTTTATGCTGGACTGTATGCTTCCTCCGCCTTCTGACAATTCATGCTGAAGAATCGTTCAATTCGAATGATTCTGCATGGTCAGAAGAATAGTCCAAATATCACTGAAGTGAAACGGGGAGGTCTGGGGTCCTGCGACTGGAGTTAAAGGACTGCCCACGAATTGAAGCCGTATAGGTCTGCGCCCTTCTTTTCATGCGGCCCCCTTTGTCATCTTATGTTCTGCGACTTACACCTCCAACAATGCCTTGAAAATAGCTCCAATGCATCCTAATTTCACCCCTTCAACAACATTCAGCCGACAGCCCGCACCCTATTCAATAAAACTTTCCTACCATCCCAAATAATTCTAAAGTATTATCTCCAACAATAAATTCAACAAACAAAATCATCAAATAGCGACCCCCAGCACACATTCTGATCATCACTCCGCTCAGAGTTGGCCATATCGAATCACCCGAATTTCGACGCGGGCCAGGGACCCAGGGGGACAAGATAGCAATATCCAATTTGTCAAATATGTCATTGACATCGTTCTCTCTTTCACTCATTTCTAAACCTTTTTCAACTTTCATCTCAAGAGGTCTCATAAGAATACCAGTCCCTCACTCACCCAGACTCATAAATGTCAAAGTTGCAAAAGAGATTTTGGAGCAGATAAGCTGTCAAGACGAGATGGAAATATTCGAAGAAAAGTCAGTTTGCAAGAAACGCATCAACGCCACTAGACTATAGGCCTTTGATAGATATACAAAGAAAGACTGACGTGGCCAAAGATGAAAATCACCCAAAGAATCTAAAGTAACAACAACAACAACAGCTATGATCAATCCAGTTCTTGTCCACAAGTGACAAGAAATCAAATTTGCTTAAATTATTTTTGTTTTTAATTTTGCACAAATAGAATTCTATGATCATGATGGCAGAAAAAGGGAGATTCTAATTTTGAAATATCTTTGCTAATATCACAATCTATGCTTCTCACATGCTCTTATTCTATACAATCCCTCTCTCTATCTCTTTCTCTTTCTCTCTCTCTCTCTCTCTCTCTCTCTTTCTCTTTCCAAGTCCCTTCCATGCCGCTATATACAGCAGTCTCTAACATATCAAGATTTTATAATTTTTCCCAGCACGTTTGGAAGAAGCCCCAGACCTTACCCATCCGTCCAGGTTAGCTCACCGATTTCCCCTCCCTCGATCTACTTTCGATGGCCCGTTTCCGACCTATAAGCCGCAAGAATTCTCAGCGTTTTTATATAGTTCGCAAAGAAGTCATGCACTTTTCTTCTCCTATACGCAGACGACCTTTGGTAACTTTCTTTTAGAAACATTTTGGCAGCATTACATGTGGAAACAAGTTTGCAACAAAATTGAATATATGCCACTTTTTGTGTTTGAGTGTATGCGTTAAGTAGTTATAGTATGTAAGTCCGCGATGCCTTTTTTTATGTCGCTCATTAGAAGGTTTCTTCAATCTTGTCTTAAATTTTCATTCTAATTCTGATATAAATCAGAAAAGATTACACATATTTTGAGAATGAACAGATAGAATAGATGAAACGTAGAAATATAGAGGGCAATATAAACAGAAAAATGATGAAATGATAGAACTGCACAGCATCTATTCTGCTAATATTTTAGTCAATTTTAGTACTACTTCCTTGTCCAAACCAATAGACTCCCTCCAATGTCATGTTGACTGAAACACTTTCTAGAAAAATATTCGACATTCAAAAGAGAAAGCATTGACATATTATTTTAACAGATATATGATATATTAGAATAGCCAAAGATAGACAGACAGATAAATAGATAGCGAGTTTAGTTAAATAGATAGGTACATACATAGACAAATAGATAACTGAAATTGCATAAGTAGGTAGATTTTTACAGATAGATTGATATCTACATGGCTTAGAGTTGAATTTTGTAACTCTTTCACAAAATCTAATAATACCTAACATTATCTCTAAGATGATACAAAAATTGCAGATATGATTAAAAAAGAGGAGGAACCTGGATTCTAAAAAGGGAATTTTTATTCTTTTACAATATCAATAAAATGTATTATCTATCATTCTAAAAACGTCTAGAGGATGAGAAAAGAAGGAAACTTTGGCAGAAAAGTGTGACCGTGGACGAGGAGACTCGTGCGGGGAAGAACGCTAAATGTAGCTCTTGGTGTCCCCGGAGGCTCGGGCGCAGAACATCGCGGATGCTGGGGATACTGAGTGAGGATGTTGAGGTTTACCAATACTAGGTTAGGGGAAAGGGTATCACACGCACCAAAAAATGGGTTGGGGACTGGCTCGAGAAGTCACATTTATCTTCTAATATTTACTTCTTCTTCTTTCTTCTTCCTCTCTTCTTCTTCTTCTTCTTCTCCTTCGTTTTCTTCTTCTTCTTCTTCTTCTTATACTTCTACTTCTACTTCTACTTTTTCATCTTCTTCTTCTCCTTCTTCTTTAACTTCTTTTCCCTTTATATCTTCTGCTTCTTCTGCTTCTTCACATCCTTCTTCTTCTTCATCTTCTTCATTGTTTTTAGCTCCTCCTTCTTTTTCTTCCCTCTATTTTATACAACTTAAACTTTGTGAGGAAAATATATTGTATATTTTAAAACTGTTCGATTGAGTTACTGTTAAACCGTCTGTAAATTTAGCATTTCAAGTCAAAGCCAAATTGTACACGTCATATAGGAAACGAAAAAGAGGTGAATTCTAATTCTCAGGCCTTGTTAGTGTTCCAATAGCTAAGCTAACTTCGTTTAGTACATGTAAACGGGAAATGTAAACGAAGCTTTTTTTGTTCATGTGTTTTGATTCCCGTGTAAACAACTTCCATACAAAACAAAGGCTTGGGTAATAATGTGGAACACTTTCAACATTACTTTTTATAAGGCATCAATACGTCACTGGTCATTTGCATGACGTCATAATCGAATTGTTGTCGCATCGGGAGTAGTCGTTATCACAGGCACGCCCACGCGCATGCGTGTTTACCCGTGTTCCAGTTATTAACTCAAATTCATTTACTCACTCCAAAATAGACAATGTAATTACCCAATTAATCAACACATTATTGACGGACCTAATAAGGTTACATTATGGCAACATGCTATTTTCTCTCCCACATTACTTTTTTGTTGTTTTCGAGTAAATATAGCGATCTGGCGATGACTAGATAAAAAGCTAAGAAAAAGAGTAATACGCATTCATTACGTATTGTGGCTAAAGGCGAGTGTAGAAATGGCATTAATGCTTAATTCGGGGTGACTTTGTGCTACAATCCAAATTATATTACAAAACAGAGAAGAAAAGGGAGTATGAAACGAGAAGAAAGATAAGAGACAAAATGAAGTGGGTTTTTTTTAATGAAGACGGAACTATATAAGTGTTCTGGTAATATCCGTATACAACACATAATCAACATAGATCATAACCGTTTTTATATTGCCCACGGAAGTTTCACTGCACTTAAATCGGGTTCTCGATGTTCTCTAGACGTAAACAAAGGCTTTAGTGTGGATTGATGCTGCAAATCTATAAAAAGTACATTCTTTACTGTCTAGATAAATGAAGTGAACTTTGCACGAAATGATCTTTTGTTCGGATCTGATCATCTTCTAGGACGGAATAGTTTCTGCCAATCTGGTGATAATATAGTAGTAATCAAACGCGTTTGGCTTGAATACCGGCCGGATTACAGAAACAATGACGCCAAATGTCAATACAAAACGCACAATAAATCCAATCAAAATTCCATGCGTTTCCTCACTCGAGGTTATACCCCATAATGAATGTATGATTTGAGGTAGAAAATTGAGAGCACAAACAAAATGCATCGCCGGGGATTTTGAGCTTCGTATAATTCAAAGTTTCGAAGAACGTTTAAAGTATAATATGTTTCCTTTATGAAGGATAATATTTCGTTGATACATTGCTTGGGAAATTACCAACCTTCCAACCGATAATGAAGGGGAAAACAAGTGCAAATTCTGCCAGGTGTCCTAGCATTATTGGACAATCCTTGTTATGATTGTTAGTATATTGAAAGGGTTAAATGAGTAATGTCCTTTTCAACTTTGCCTGGAGATACTCCGTCCTTTTCATGAGTTCAACGTCAATGTAGTTTTCGCTTCAATCATGGCAAAAACAGTTTTTTTCTTTCTTTTACTCAATTTCTGGAGCGACGGGGTTTTTTCTCATTACGCCCGGCGCCTGAGGAAAGGGTCCCAAAATCGTGTTAACATTAATCGACTTTTTCTTTTACAGAAAGAGAGAAAATATGATTTGATTGAAAATAGGCTTCGAAAAGTCGCCTCGAAATCGAGCATTAGGGTGATTAAAATTCCGGGTTTATTGCAAGCTGATTGGGTTAGCTGAATAAGAAGGGGTTGTGAACTCGCTGTATGGCTTAAAGACAACGGGTTGGAATGCTAGCCTATTGCTCTTAATAGTCCTCGTCGATTTTCATTTTATTGTCAAAACATTCATCAACAGTGATGTGACCGAGATGAATGGGTAATTATTTGCCGCGAACAAATATTTAAATTCCCATGTTTACAATCGGCACAATGCGGCAAATATTGCTTGTGTACATAATTCCATTACCGTCAGGGACCCAATTTGGCGTTTAAATGTTTTTGTATCAGTTTTAAAGGGGGTTTGCTTTGTTGATTTATGCCCAGTCGCTTTCTGTCGCAGGTAATTTTGAAGGAAATGCTCCGTGAATTCCATTTGGTAAATATATATGTATATAGAATATAACAACGCGGTTGAAATGGATTGAGGACAAAACGCGAGGGTGAAGCAAAGATAGTTAGGAATCGTTTTGGAGGGTATTGTTGGTGCGAGTTGGAGCGAGGAGTGGCCTTCATGGGTAGGTGGTTAAGGAGAATGGGTAAAGTGGTGGAGTGGTGCTAGCACCCCTTTTTGGGGGTGAGGTTAAGGAACGAGGTGGTATAGAGTTATACTTCACAGAGGAGTTCCTAATAGCGCCAATACATCACCTACAGTCCACTTATTGGTTGTTCTATAGCTTCATTTCATAAATCCTCCATGGCGTATAATCATCAATAAAACCGTTACCCTAAATATTCATGAAAATATTTTTTTAAAGAAAAATAATGATTATTCGACCCGGCTTGCCACAGGTCAGACTAACTACCAGAGACCTTGCGACTATAGCCTTGTAGCGTCAGTCACTGAACACCAAGCAAGAGAACTCGACGAATCAAGACTCAATTAGTAATTAAGGGCCATTGATTTTAATGACTCTCCTTCCTTTGTTTTGCCTGCCCAATCTATTACGGTTCATTCCTCATTCAAAATGAAAGCATATATGGAACACAAAGAAGCCTTGGAATCATGAGTGATTGAACATTTTCTTTTATCCTGGCATATTGGTTTGATATGCAGTATTTAATATCGCCTTCAAAGCTCCAATGATTATTGTCAGTTTAGTTGCACTGTCTATCATAATAGATATGTCAAATCTATTTACACAGTCGAGAATTTGATCATCCCTATACCCCATTACGGTGAAGAGAACACAGGGTGTTTGGGAGAAAGAGAGAAGTAAAGAGAGGGATGGAAAGTTCAAGCGACTATCGTCAATTTGCTCTCATAAAAAAAAAGACTGGCCAGAAAAATGAAATCGCATTGTTAAAAATTCCTCTGTCCTTATTTTTTTTTCTCTAAAGTTTTGTGTGAACATCAAGCGATGCGACACCGATTATCTTTGTCTTTTCGGATCACAGCGTTTCATAAAGCTGACGATATAACTCATCTTCATCAACAGACAACAACCGCCGCTGGAATGCAAAAGTGGTGAATATCTTTTTTTGAAAATAAATATGGCTACCCGCCCATCCACGAATATACGACACATTGTTGCCGAGGCAGTCTATTTTGTGTGTGTAACGATTTTCTTTTCATAACTCTAATCATCTCGCTATTTGTTCGCAGCCGATTGTAAAATGTTTTCAGTGGAGGAGAATATTTGGTCTCTTTTGACCCCAACTTGACTTAGCCTAGACGATTAATCAGAAAAGATTTGAGAGCCGGGAGAAAATGAAGCAAGAGAAGTAGATAGAAAAATGGTGGGTGGGGATGATTGGTATCTGGTGAGAATTTTTCGTGTTGTAATCCTTGAAAAACGGGATGTGTTTAAAATTCCTTTAAATAGACATTACGTGTGCCTAATTCTATCCATGTCAGACGAGGAATGCAAAAGATAATTAGACCTTTCAAGTTCTATTCCACTCAGGTATCAATCTAACGCTTACAGATACAGGGAAGCTTTTACCCGAGTCATAATCTAGAACTATAAGGAAGTGCAAAGAGAGGGGGTGTGAGAAAGAGAATAGTGACCTTCAACCAATATGAAATGCTTTAAAAAAAAATATGTCCGCTTTCCTACAAAATATACCGAATTGGAATGTCATAAATCAACGCTATAATGATCCTGAGACATCTACATCAACAGTATCGTCCCCATTTATCTAAATCGAGGGTTAAATGTCAAGAAAACATCCCGTATTGCCTAACCAAAGGATAATCAAGTTATTTCAAAGATTCCACAAGCGCGTAATTACGAACATAGATGCTAACTATTGATAAGGGAGCTTCTTTCAATCTGTTCATAGAATTTTGACAATAATTATATCTAAACGCCTTCGGTAAGATGAGAACTCAATGTAACATCAGATTAAGATCAGCAAAGTGCATGAAATCTGTAAGATTTATGCCTAAACTTGAAAACCAATCACAGGAAATGTATATCAATTCGTTGTCATTTTTGTAATATCCCATTTTTGCAATTGACAGCAATATATCTGTTATTTATTCTTGATGTCCGTCGGTATTCCTCATTAGCGAGATATACAATTCAGTTTCAGACATTTCTAGGAGCTTTGGTGATCAATGACATACATTCCCGTTATTTGTTTTTTGTCTGTGACAGATCGGATAGGCTATATTGTCAATTCTCAAAACATAAAGAAATCATTTCTTGAAGCTGTTTAAATAATCAATAAATTTTATAATCGTCTAAAAACCTGAAATAATATATATTTTTTTAATTTAATTTTTGTATATAGCGCTTAATACAAGTTATAACAAAACACAGTAAATTCATAGAACGAACTTTTGCTATGGCAAAATTGAAATTAAAAAACACTTAAAAACACTCGTCGTTAAAACTATTCATATAAAAGGCGGGGGTGGCGGTACATTTTGATATTAAACAGATTTGGCCCAAAATGCTGCCACTTTTCATCTCATATACCAAACAGCTAGACCTTGTGGAAAATTACACAGCCACAGTGATAAACAATAATTCACTCAATAAAATATACCACATACTGCTATTTTTTCCATTAAACTCACAGCCAATAATGATGAATTTTGTTGTTTGTCGGAACAAGCCTGGGTCAAGAATCGCAAACTGAGAGAAAATATCTAAATGACTTCTCCTCCTCCGATTCCGTAATGAATTGGTAACAGAAAAATAATTTAAAACCATTATCTCCTTTTATCTCTGCTTATTGTAATTCATCCTTGCAATAAGTGCAAATGAAATTTTGTGAAAGGAGAAGTCATTACGTCGGAAAATCAATAAAAATAATGAAAACCCGCAGTGATTGACTTCCAATGAAAAAGGCAACCGTGCGGAAATCCTTATTCTCTTTGCGGTCAGTTTCAAGTACGAAATGAAGTGTTTCTCTTAAGTCCTTTTCGCTAGATTTATCCCTCTAATTTATTTGTTCTTACAGCTTTTTTCATTATAGTAATTCCACACTCTTTGTAAGATTGAATAGATCTATTTTGGAGGAGATCTCTATCTCGTTAACCGCATGTAGATGAGGTTAAAAACAACTGCATACGTTTTATAACTGATCACCCTTGTTCGTCAGAGTGCTAAATATATGTTGTTTTACTACTAAGGAGGTAGACTCGATTTAAGACTATTTTTTAGATTAAATTCATCGATCAGTGCAAGACTGAAAAGAGAAAGCGATATTTAAAAATCGGGCAGATCCGTAGCAGATTTTTCAGTTCATTGGAATTAGAGCGAGCTTTTTGGATAGGTACTTTATTTTTGATGCAACAGTAATATTAAGATCTCTGTCGCCATCTACGGCTGAGTTGAAGGAATTCTCAAGCACTAAGTCTAAAAAGTGAATTGAAAACAATTAGGGCCTACAAGATGGGAGGAGTAATAGTAGAGATATCTAGATAGATATATAGATTGAGAGAGAAAGGGAAAGAGAGAGAGAGAGAGAGAGAGAGTGAGAGAGAGAGAGAGAAAGCGAGGGGGGCTGATATAGCAATACAGTAAGATTGACGGATAAATAGACAAGAATAAGTGAAAACTACATTATAAGTTGGACATGTACTTAAAGACAACATCAGACAGAGAAGGATGGCATAAACTTGCGACGGTCACAGTAGCAAAGCTAGCGCCACTTGACTAAAAGAAGAAGTAGTTCAAACCAAAGAGATACTGTCTCTTTGTTAAAACTAAAGGAATGTATAAGAGGAGGCGTGCTTAAAGGGGTACGAGTATGCGGGGAAGGGTGCGTGGAAGGATGCAGGAGGGGTGCAGGAGGGTGCAGGAGGGGTGCAGGAGGGGTGCAGGAGGGTTGCAGGGCGTGGTACTTACATCCACCGGCTGATCCCGCTCGCCCAAGTCGTCTATAACTCCTCTTATTAAGTGCTGATGGACTCCTATTTAAAAAGTATCTTGACCTCGGTGTGTCGGTATCATTCAAGCTCAGTGCATTCAAATAGTCTTCCAATGAGTTCACTTTTCTCATTCGCTGCTCCACCGTCACCCGCCGAGATAACTGTGTAGGAAATTAGAAAAAAGGAGAACTTCGAAATCAAAATGGCGATTAAAAAATATATAATCATGACATGATGAAAGTATTTGAAAAGTATGTTGTAAATTGAATAGCGTGACTTTGTAAAAACAAGATGATGTCTATCTTATTAAAAACAAAAATCAAATTACTGATTTTTAGTAACCTGTTGATCCTATTTCCCAATTACTATCTTCTTGCTATAAGTGTAACATTGTAAAGAGTTTAGATTAAATATCTGTTATTGTATACCATGTATCGCAGATTAACTCTGGCGTACACACGTTAAAGTTTCTTTCTGTCAAATAAGCCAACTCAATCATTAATGTATTCAAACCTATTTTCATTGATATACCAGTTATTTTAGTATCTTGGCACACGTACGCGCACGCCTTTTCCCAGTTTAGTTTGGTAGGTTAATCTAGTACAAATTGGATTATACTTTGTCACCTTGTTCGTTCATACATCAGACTTTCTCCCACCCTCTTTCATCCATTAGTAGGTCTTTTAACAGTTACTTTGTAAAGAGATTACCGACAGCTCATTAGGTGCATTTTAATTATGTTGCTGATCCGAATGTATACATGACTTTGTACGCTTTCTCACGAGATCATCTCGCCCACATTACAGGCTGAAATAAGCGCCTAAAGACAGCTTTGGTGTTTTGTATGGTGGCGTATTATTTAGTCCGCCATCAAAAGAATAGCACTAACGAGTTGGTTAATGACATGAAAAGAGCGTCGTAATTTGAAACGCTATACCCTCTGTTAGGAAACAATCATGAAGGGGATGAATGTTAAGTACGTTCGGTTTAAAGAAATTCTTACTTCAGCATCTTACTTAAAAATCACTTAAGATGTAATCCTACATTCCTGTCAAACTCTTTCATGAACCATGGTCCATTTTCCGGGGTCACTTACTTAGACATGATGATTAGGCATTATAAGAATCCATTCGTTCACCCAAAAAGGACCTGCGCATTGGACCAACAATCACCAACATATTTGAAAGCGGCTAGGCACTTTGGAAGAGGGTAATTATGTTTTAAACATAAGAGAGAGTGATCGCTTTGTTAGAATGTACACATTCATTTGTCAGGCAATATGCAGAGCTGGAATAACGGCCCTAATTTCTTTAGAAATCCCACGAGAAGACTACTTACAGAAGCTAAACGGTCATAAACCGTCACTTGAAAGTGCACTCTTGGGTGTGATTATAGAACACATGAATGCATTAGCTCAGATACTAAATAGAATTTATCATACAATTATTCTTCCTCTTTTTATTATACACCTCTCTTCGTTTTTGTACAGCCATAGCCCTGTCTCAATGCTCAAACCGACAGACTGAGTCAGTAAAATGGCCGAACAAAAATCATTATCTACTCATTATCTACGACAGGTTGCACCATCCTTTCAAAATAAAATCTGATCCACTTTGCAATTTATTCGGGACACCGTGGCCACCTGATGCCGAATTCTGAGATATAACTTGTCCTCCGAAAATCAAAATGGCCTTGAAGTGCTCAACTCTAGGTATGTTTTCATCAGCTTGAGATTGCCAAATAACAGGCTATTTCTGATTTGGGAAATAAGCCCAAAGTTACAAATCGCGTCCTCATCAACTCGAGACTCGACCTCGAAACTCGAAACTCGAAACTCAAGCTCGAGAAATTAACTCGAGATATTTTGCTCAGCGTTCGCGCATCGAAACTCAAGCTCGAGAAATTAACTCGAGATATTTTGCTCAGCGTTCGCGCATAGTGCGAGTCTTCGGGCTGGTCGAGGACGCACCAGACAAATAGCTGGATATTATTTTTGCCAAGCAGCGGGATATTTTGCAAACTAGCCCAAGATATCTTGGGATGATTATCTGGAACAAAAAATTATCCCGCCAATTGCAATTGCGGGCTGATGAAGACGCAAATTAGCTTGATGATTTGCGATCGGGATAGTTTAAATAGCGGGTTATTTGGCAAACTCGAGCTGGTGAAAACAGGCCTTTCATAAAGGTATACAGGAAGATGGAGGGAGACAGAGAGAAAATGATAAAGTGTGATCGAGGGAGAGAGAGAGTGAGTGAGAGAGAGAGAGAGACGATCATCGAAAAAAAAAAGTAAAATATGAATTTGAAACCCTCGCTGGGTGGGTGGCTTAACCCCTCGGAATTGTAGCAGAGGTACGGGAGAGGACCGGCTAATGAGAGCCAGATTATTCGATGGTCACGACCGCAATACGTACGTGTACACGCTATTGACTGAGTGCAGAAGTCAGACTCCATAGGGTCTAACCACTTTATAACGTACATTACACAATATTTCTGAACGCAACTGACTTCTACATAAAATAGGAGACCCGAATGATGCATATATTTGGCATTGTATATGCTGTTTGTTTTAATTTACGATATTCATTTTTCTTTCCTTTCTTTTCACATCATGGGCGATTATGGACCAATCATGAAAGGGGTATCCTAATACAAAACCTCCCCAATAATTAGGGGGAAATTATAGCGCTCACCCTTCCACAGACGACAGATATTCAATTTCATGTTAAATTGTAATTTTTATCAACCCTAAACAACTCTCGGTGCGCTTACTATTACCAGAACTTACAACAACAACAAATTGCCGCCACTTTGCGAACCGAGCCTTTTATTTCGACAGAATAGAGGAGGGGTAAATCCCGCCCCCTCCCCATCAACCCTCACTTCTAGTGGGATCCGTCCTTACATCCACAGGAATTACTGGCTGGTGTATGACCACAATCATACACACAATAACATCCACATTCTACAAACCAGAGCCTCGTTCAGAGGGAAATCATTCAAACAATAATTTAGTCAGCCAGCCCCTAAGATCAGATGAAGTCTAAGAAGGTCCAACCCTTTTAAGACAACCACGATTGTAAACGCGGCACTTTTCCGGATTCACCAATTGGGTGAAATCTCTTCGTTTTGACAATCGTATGTCGAGGCAGACTTTTTGCTCTCAAACCAAAGGAGTGGAAAAACCGTCTTCTTAACTCAGATTTGTAACCCAAATGTGGCAAAACTTATTTCCAAGCGCTACATGTCTAGAAGATAGATCTGTGAGATTTATTCTTAATAGTAGTTATATCATTTTCAACAAAGAAGTAATCATTGAAAGCCGGGACTATAACATATATTAGGATAATTCAAAATACAAGTGTGTCATTATATCCCTTGAATTCCGTGAATTTATTCTTAAGAAGTTTCTGACTGGTTCTTTATTAATTCAAGGTTTCATACGGTTCGGAAAGGCTTTCGAAGGTAAGATTGAACCAAACCAACAGAATGGTGAGACGAATAAAGCTGAACAAAGAGGATCTGAAAATGTTCCGATGGCGGATTACTTCAATCCCCTTTATTTGAAATCATGTTCTGACCTCGACTGATGGGGGAGTGCTTAGGAGGAAGAAAGAGTTCGTCTCTGTCTTCACCCCCTTGTGTAACTCCTCCATTTTAAAGCTATTAACATAGTACATAACATAACGAGGTGTATATGCGGATTATGTACTTTCAACAAGTCGACAAAGAATGTACTATCAAAAACCGTATTTCAGTAATGTTATTCATTTAAATAAACTTAGTACTACACTTCCGGCTAATGTTATCAAGCACTATATTTTACTTTGGGCGAAACCGAAATACTTATACGCGAAATAAAAATAAAATCAACCCTTTTTTGTACGAATCAGAATCAGAATTATTGGAATCTTTCGCGCCCGAGTTCCAAGTAACGAGTTACGAGGTACAATCGAATGAGATATCCGAATAAGCAAGCGTGAAGGAAAGCTATTTTTCGACTACCAAAATCTGTTATTTTCCGAAAATGCTCTTTTGTTGTGTTCACCCTTATTACATCCATTCACAGCAGAGTTAAAGTAACCGATAATAATTCCTAAGAAATAGCAGTCAATTTACCCCGGGGTAGTGGTAGTTATCACATTTGACAGGTTCCGCCGCATGCAAACGTCAACCCACTGTAAACTCGACGGAACCATGAATGAAATCCCCGCTGTGAAAACGGCGTCACCCGCCATCCTCTTGCGGTTCTTTTTAACCATAAATTAAATATAAAAAACTTGGGACCTGCCGGGTTAGCTACTTCCCTGCATTCCTCGTTCTCCTCCCCCTTTGCCCGACTGTTGTCCATATTACCGGGGAACATTTTAATTATTGCCAATTTTTCTCCTACAGCGCAATTTGATCCTATCAGGTCTGTATGATCACGTGACTGGTGTGGAGATACGTTTGCTGGCGCCAATAGTATAAACGTACATGGTTTCATATCGTCTGCTCAAAGCTACAAGGGCGATAATATTTTGCGAAAGACGATAATATCTGGATCCAAGCTTTAATCTCTTGAATAAACCACACTAGGTTCATAGTATTTTCTGCCGTTGATGACTGCATTGAACAAATTACAGATCGATGGTATCTTCGTTTAAGCTCATTAAATGGCACTTACAAACAGATCCTTAAAACGGCACTGAAATGTAAGCAATATTGAAAGTAGAACAGAAATTATTACTCAAAATGATCTAGATTTCTTTGTAGCTCTTTTGACCAAAATAGTTCGATATCCGATTACAGTGTAACCTGTGACCTAAAAATAAAAATGTGAGCGGGAAAAATGAAAAAGATGAGGGGTGGGGTAGGAGTATGTAATGGGGGTGCATGCACGCTTATTTTGAGCTCTTCTAAAACGTGTATTTCTTACTAATCGCCGGATAATATTCAACCTGCAGACAAATCTCAGTGGCGCAATGTACTAAAACGGCTATGTCAGACAAATAAGAATATGTAAGAAAATGGTCTTGTTTTATTAAGTTAAGATTAAAGGGGCGCCATTTTGTTGCTAAAGCTTCCGTTTTAGGGGCACACTGTACAGGGGTCGTTGAATCTTTGACTGTTCAAAGCTATGCCCCAGAAGTTTAGTTCCCCTTTTCCTATTGGTGAATTCTATATGAGAGTAACTTCGTTTGTTCTTTAACTTAAAATCTGTCTGTACACAACAAGCACATAGTTTCACTCCCTCTAAAGCACACCCTAGCTTTGCTGCCCAGTTGCCC